TATTTTAAACTAGGAATACTATTATGTACTCTTCAAAGAGATTCAATACCTTTTGAGTATAAATAAATCCAGAATATCTTTAAGGCGCAAGAAATGATCGGAACGGTTCGTTTGGAGTCGGACGCAAAAGGATCGAGTAGAAGGCGGGCTGTGATCATAAATCACCCGAAAATATTGGTTTGAGAGACAAATTGTGGACATGTGGCTGGCAGCTGCACCGAGATGTTGCTAGTTTGTAAAAAATAAAATAAAAAAAAAACAACAACAACAAAAAATACAAATCGATTTCCGAAAACAGGAAAGCGCTTATTTCGAATGCGCGTGACCAAAATCAAAACAATGCACGAATATAACGCGATCAGTTTTGGCAGCTAACTCGATAAAAAGGTCGTTTAAACTTAAGGCCGTATTACGTTTTCATACTGTGACACCTCGTTAATACACCATATTTTGGTTTCGCGTAAATTGAATTTCATTCCTCCATTTGAACGAAATGAAATATCACGTGTTTGGAAATCACTTTACGCAAACAACAATCGAAAAATAAGAATAAAGTTAACCGTAATAAACTCTGTAACGTTATATTCTTGAGGAACAGAATACCAGTTTAATGAGATTTACTGAACTATAAATAGATAGGTGACATTTCAGAGGTGTTTGTTCTGTTAAGAAATCTATACTATAATAATATTATAAAGAGGAAAGATTTGTTTGTTTGTTTGTTTCGAATAGGCTCCGAAACTACTGAACCGATTTGAAAAATTCTTTTTCCATTAGAAGCCGACATTGTCCCTGATGAACATAGGCTACTTTTTTAATTTTTATCTTATTTTATTTTTTTGGTTTCATGTGTGTTTTAATGTTTCCGAAGCGAAGCGAGGGCGGGTCGCTAGTTATATATATTTAGTATGAATTATATTAAATAATAATTTTGTCATTTATATTACAAATAATACATACGGATAGTTAACCTCAATTGTATTGGAGCACTGTGTGGGCAACTTCATTTCTGTTAATTTTGTGTCACGGTGCGCGCGCATCGTAAAACTTCACTCTCATCAATTTTTCATAACACGCCTAAAGAAGTATAACTTCAATATAACTTCAAAAACGCTTACGACGAAACAAAATAATCCTGCAAATTGAGTTGCAAAGTTAAATTGAGGCCGACATTTTCTTACTCGTGTATAAATTCTCCTTTAACCGATAACGTCATCTTTACACCTGCAGTTATCATAATTTTCCACTAGACACGATTCTCCGAACCCAACGGTCTCAGTAATCAACTAGACTAGCGTTTTAAACTGTGATTTTCACCGCATATCTTTTGTTTTGCATTATAATAAACTACAATTCTTTCACAAACGCTGCTAATGGAGTGAAATATTCTTGCTATTAACATACAAGTGTGCATGAAGAATCAGAACTTATTTTAAGATCATAAATTAACGCTTTTCAGGAAGCATTGTTGAAATTATAATATTATTGCAATCGAATAAAACATGATTCCTATATTCCTACGTTATGATCATTTGTATTATGTTCTACATTATCACGTAGGATTATAAAAATGTAGTATTGCCTCACAAATACAAATTTAGATGTACGTCCAATCAAAATATTTATTGTGTCTATCGATCCAATACATATTGTTTCATTATGTATTCAAAGACATTCCTCTGAAGTCGTAGTTAGGAGTCGGTACTCGCCAGAAATTAAAAAGAGTTAGACAAACAACATTACTATGGGCAACGTGAGGTAATAAATCACTCCTCGACGATGATTTAGTTTATAGGCAGAACGTGTATTATAAGTCGCGGTCTTGCGTCATCAGTTGTTAAATTTCAGATTTTCTTAAATATATACAATATGAAACGTATCTCTGTGAGCATATTATCACTACATAATATAAAACAAAGTCGCTTTCTCTGTCCCTATATCCCTATGTATGCTTAAAACTTTAAAACTACGCAACGTATTTTGATGCGGTTTTTTTTAATAGATAGAGTGATTAAAGAGGAAGGTTTACATGTATAATAACATCCATTAAATAGTGGAGAAATCAATAATAAATTACAGTTTCCGAATCATGGTCTAAGTCTAAATTGCATTTCATAATAGCTGTAAAACCCTTCAAAGTGGAACGCATGTCTACTGCTCGGCAGAAATATGCAGGATGGATTTCACCTGGTTTCTGCGCATAAACGCAATGAAGACCATAGTTAAGAAATTTAATTAACTTATAAACTTTTTTGGACGTGAAATGCATGTGGCGTTCAATAAATAAAGTTTTTGACTAGTAGATACTTAATTATTTTACCTAATCGTTTTTTGTTAATCAAACTATTTGAAAGGAATTTCATAATAACAGTTGTGAAATATGTATCATGAACGCAGTTTATTGTTTACCTTACTAAATACCAGTGTTTACCTCATTAATAATTTGACAAACAATTTTACTGACTTCATTGCCTGGACGATTATTATACTAAAGTGTGTATATTCGGATATTTAATCGTCTTGAACTACGATTCTAGAAAATGAAATCCCGCAAAGCAATCACACATTTAATAATTTTTGTTAACTGTAATATTTTAAGCTCACATATTATAATACACTTTTAAGCAATCCACGAATTTCAGTTTAATTTTTATCTAGTAATTTTCTATTTTTGTGTATCTGAAGTAAAGCTGTTGTATTCTTGGTACGAGGAGCACTGCTGCTTTAGATACAGGTTTTATCACCTAGTTCAAGCACAGATGCAAATTATAGTTGTGTTTCTACTTCTGTGTTAACAATAAATAAATAAATACAAAATAAACATATATCCTTATTACGATAATATTGTGCGGTAATTACTAAATAAATTCCAGTTGAGTACATTGTATTTGCACCTAGAAGTAATTAGCATGACTCACCAATGAGCGAGAACCGGGATAGAAAGTCTAGTTCTATACCGGTCCGGTCGGGTTATTCTCAAGACATACTATATCTAATTTATTGTTAGCAGGACGCCCGAATTAGAGAAATAAAGTAAAAATATTCTAGTGGCATTTAATTTGTCATAATATGTATACTATCGAAAGGAAGAATATAATCCGTTCGGTAACACATAAAACGATTAAAGATAATTATTTAGATATTGCAATAAATCACATTTAATTACAAAGAAGATTTTAATTAAATTATTTATACACTAATTGCGACGCGGTTTCACCTGCGTTCAATTTGTAATTAATTTAGAATGAAACTCCTTTTTTTTATGAATTAAAAGATGTTAGGGCATAAAACCACAAATCAACAATATCACGGTTGTAATTATATTTGTGTGCAATAAAATTCCGTTAGAAATTTTACGTAAATTGAGTAAAAAAACACCGAGAATAATTCACATTTGTAATGTAATTTAGTGTAGCTTTTGGATTAACCTTCCCCATGCAAAGATTCTTATCTAATATACATATAAAATTCTCGTGTCACAATGTTCGTTCCCATACTCCTCCGAAACCGCTTGACCGATTCTCATGAAATTTTTTATGCATATTCAGTAAGCCTGAGAATCGGCTACTATCTATTTTGCATACCCCTAAGTGATTAGGGTTGTCCACCCCTAACATTTTTTTTTTATTTGGACATATTTTTTTTGTTATAGTGAGGTATTATGTGGTTGAATGAGGTTTTGTTATTTTTATTATATATTCCCTCATCGTTCACAGCACTACATACCTCTTTCACTCATTTACCACAACCTTACACACTAACAATAAGTTAGTTTTTTTTTCTACACTAGAAATTCCCTAGAAATCTTATATATGGCAAAACAATGTTTGCCGGGTCAGCTAGTAGCTTTATAAATAGCTCAATATTTAAGCAAGCTGAAGTGGCTATGGGCCGGTAATGTCTGTCAGAGAACCGATAACCGTTGGTCTAGCCGAGTTCTGGAGTGGATTTTTTTTTCCTACCTAATCGTTGGTAGCCTAAGAGGGTATTCCAACTTCGCGCGGATTGGTAGGTGAGCTGACGGGCTCAATCTGTGAGAATTGCTAACACTAGCCCTAGCAAGAGCAGTGCTTCGCTGAATCTACTATCAGGTGGGAATCGCGTTGGAGACCGCGGACCGGTTACCGAAGTGTAGGACGCCCAGTAATATGGTGAAGCGATGATATACGCAAATTGCGGGCAGTAGATGGAGACGACAAGCCTAGGAGCGGGACGCATGGGGTGCCTGGAGATAGGTCTCTCTCCATATTTGACGGTGGCCTAAAATAAGCTGTAATAATAATGATGCAAAAATTCATTGCTGATCATGAAATAAAAGAAGAATTCTCAAGTTCAAATTGCTTTTTTGTTTTTCGAAAAAACAACAAAAGGCGGCTTGCAAATTATTGTGACGGTGATTGAGTGATATATTTACGTCAGACAGTTAGTAGGACATCTCATTAGTGCTCTTCACGTCCACACAACAGCTAAGGACACGGGAAAGACAATGATGTACTGCCTCCGTTGTTAACTTGACCAATTGAGTCATTTCTATGCAACAACACGACTATGCTAATGTTATAACTGTGGAATAGATTGAAGTTCGCCAAATAACGTCTTGTTCCTTATTTAATTTTTAACTTTAACCAATGTCATGCCGATGGTATCGTAAATTTTTTATTTATAATTTTTAAAACGTAAATATGTAATTATAATTTCGTTTATGAGTGATTGATTGATAAGATATTTTCAATTCTCCGCTTTCTGTTTACCATCATTTAAAATTAGACGAATAATATGAAACCTCGATTTCAACGAACAATACTTCAAGTCATGAAATTTCGACATAAATAAACTATCGCAACTGATTTAATAGTTCACAGCAGCATGCATAATAATATCTGTTTTATAAATAGAACAGCGAATAGGTACTGGAACTGATAAATACAACATCCACTTCTCTAATAATAGAAAGATTACAATAAAGCATAAAGGAGCTAAAATAAGATAAATGCCCTTACAAATGTTGGTTCTCCGTTCTCGTGGTCACATGGCTCACGTTCATTGGAAAGTCGGGAACCCTCCTGTTTTTAATCACTTTCAGGTTTTTTCACGTTCATAACACTGAGAACATCACATAAAACCATCACTAATTCATTCACTTAGAGTAACAGCAAAAAGACACGCAAGTGCTAGGTTTGGTTTTGATTTGCGATAAAAGTACCAGCTGTTTTTAAATTAAAACGACGAGACGTCCGTTAGGTTCGCGCGCGCGTCGCCGTTTGAGGAAAGACGAAAGATACAAAATTGAGGATCGAGTCGGATTGAGTTGTTTCAGTTGTGCTGCGCTGTGTATGTGTATGTGTATATGGTGCGTGTGCACCGTCCGCTCCGCCAGATGACAGCTTCATCTCCTCAGTCCCCGGCCCCTTTTACCCCACCGGGATAAGCGTACACGAAATAGACTTGTTGCATTTTTATTTTATTTTTTATTTATCAAACGACCGGTTCAAATAAACTGTCTTCGACTCTGCTGGCTTTATAAGACGAATGATAAAGTTTAGAAATGCGCCTACTGCAATTGAAACTATGTAGATGAATAATGTTACGAAATTTTTTTTACATAAGATTTTAAAAGAGCAAAATTACTGGTAATGCTTACTTATGTTAACGTAATTCAGAATACCATCGATAGGTAAACGGTAACGATAAACTATTCGAATTAGTATTTGATACCACGGTATTTGGTACCACCGTGATTTTATTGAAGCTTCATTGCGTGAACTTGATTGAAACTTCATACGGTAATATTCTGCTACACTAACCGCTGACCTGTGACCTTCCTTGTTTGCTTATCTAATCTAATCGATCATATGATTTTTTGTAATCCTCAAATGAATACAATAATCAATTGAGCAAACTTTCGGATACTACAGATTTAATTAAAACAAAACATCTAAATGTCGATGGTTACACAGGTAGGTGGACCTATCTATCACCCACCAGTTATTACAGACCTACACCACCTTCACTCGCTATACCACGTGATAACTATTTTTTTTTGTGAGAGTGCCCCGTGGTCATGTATCATAAAAAGTTAATCTGAAAGCTACGTTGATTGAGTTGTTTTATACGGCTTCGAAAATTATTTAGTAGGTAACTTCGAGCTCCCGCCAACAATTAATTTATGAACATAAAAATATACGAATAAATCTCTACATTAATCTGTGTATGTTTTAAATGTATTTTAAACAACTAACGGGTAGCCATTCGCTGTGGGTGTTACGAAAGATTTTTACAATTACAAGGTGTATATATATTTTCTTTAATTACAAATCAAACGAATTTTCTGTAAAGTAACTGTTTTTTGAAATTAACGTTATAATTACGTTTTAAATGCTACACTTATGGTCACTGGTTTTATTTCCTTTGTTATGTTCTCAATTAAATACTAAAAATTGAGAGAGCCTTATAACACACTGGGTAAGCTCCAAATCTGGAAATGGGTGAAAAAAGATTCAGTACCTATAGGTATATAGAATTTTCGGATATATTTCAATAGTTGAAATTGAAATATTGGTTTCCAGATAATTTAAAAATAATGGTAGGTGTTGAATAAACCTAAAGTCGTCTAAGTCGAATATTCGAATGTTACCCAATAATGACTAATAGTCGAATGATATTACTATTATTTTACCTGTTAATTTTATAACTGTTTGTTTTGTTTTAAAACAAAAAAAAAACAATTATAAAATTGGTTTAAATCAAATTAAGGGCCAATTATTTAGTAAGTGCATGCCCATTCTTCCTGGTGATACTGAAAGGCCATCCGCAGTCCCTTTATCTATACTAATATTATAAAGAGGAAAGATTTGTTTGTTTGTTTGTATTGAATAGGCTCCGAAACTACTGAACCGATTTGAAAAATTCTTTCACTGTTTGGAAGCTACACTATTCCCCAGTGGCATAGGCTATAATCACTTTCTGAAAAAAAATTGGGATCCTTACTAAAACTCCAATAATGTAATCCAAAGTGTAAAACAATTAATTTATCTAAAATATTATTTACATCGCGTGCCCTGCGAAAACTATTAATAATAGAATAAAATAAGGTACTACGACTTTGTAGAACACATTATTATTAACAAAAAGTGTCGTGGCAGCATATGTCTAACTATTATAGTTATGCTGCAATAAGTGTTATTTTATTTTAAAAAATAAAACGTCACATATCGTTGAAATTTTTGTTAAAGACCCGAGCGAAGCCAGACCGGGCCGCCTGTTTCAAATAAAAATTATAAATTTCGATTTCTACTATGCCGAATATTTGAGCAGGAGTACCGCTTTATTGTTTATATAATACGGTAAGATATAGTTTGATATTTTTAGTGATATTTTTAGCAACAGAAATCTTGACGGTGAGCATATTTGATTTGCTTTACAAACGCTTTGCTTAAAATAATCACTGGTGGTAGGACCTCTTGTGAGTCCGGGCGGGTGGGTACCATCACCCTGCCTATTTCTGCCGTGAAGCAGTAACGCGTTTCGGTTTGAAGGGTGGGGCAGCCGTTGTAACTATACTTGAGACCTTAGAACTAATACCTCAAGGTGGGTGGCGCATTTACGTTGTGGATGTCTATGGGCTCCAGTAACCACTTAACACCAGGTGGGCTGTGAGTTCGTCCACCCAAACAAGCAATAAAAAAAAATTAAAAAAATAAGCATTATAGTGACCCTTCATGTTCTTCTTGCCTTTACATTTTTATAACTTTATTTTCTGATCTGTACTCCTCATTTATTTAATTATTATTTTGATTTAAGTAAAGGTTTTATGGCTAAATTTTATGGTATGGTATGGTAGGCCACAATCGAGATCGTGGTTCGGGAAATTTTACTGGAAAATCATGCACATGAACCTCGACAAAGTATCTCTACAGAGTTTAAAAATGAACCGAACAAAAATGAGGTTTCGAAAATTTTTATTTTATTTATGCATCCCCTATGCCCGTCTACAAATAATGATACCTAAATACCCTTATTACTAATTGAAAATTGAGCTCCACTAAGTGAAATTTGACGAATTTCATCATCATCATTAGCCTGTATCTCTCCACTGCTGGATGTAGGCCTCTCCCATAGTCCGCCACAATGAGCGATCCTCCGCCTTTCGCATGCAATCTTTCCCAGCATATCACCGCAAGTCATCGGTCCACCAGGCTGGGCCGGTACGTGGTCTCCAGTTCAGAACGCGTCTACTCCATCGCCCATCACTTCTGCGACACGTATATCCGGCCCATTGCCACTTCAGCTTGCTAATCTTTAGGGCTATGTCGGTTACTTTGGTTATTTGACGTATTTCCTCATTTCTGACTCGATCCATCAAAGAAACTCCGACGAGCCCTTTAGATGTAACAGCAACAATAGCCTGAGTTTTTGTAGGATTTACTTGCAACCCATAGGATTTACTCCAATTTAATTTAATTATTGAATGAAATCATTGTTTATTGTAGTAAAGCAACAGACAAAGTTTCCAGTCGGGCTTGCATATAAATGTCGAGATCGTCTGCATATAAGTAGTAGGAGGAAATGAGATGGTCAGAGATAGAATTAATATGTATCCCGAACAGCATTTTTTTTTTATTGCCTATGTATGTAGACGAGGTCACAGCCCACCTGCTGTTAAGTGGTTACTGGAACCCATAGACATCTACAACGTATATGCGCCACACACCTTGAGATATAGTTCTAAGGTCTCAGTATAGTCACAACGGCTGCCCCACCCTTCAAACCGAAACGCATTACTGCTTCACGGCAGAAATAGGGATGGCGGTGGTACCTACCCGTGCGGACTCACAAGAGGTCCTACCACCAGTAATTAGGCAAATTATAATTTTGCGGGTTTGATTTTTACTGCACGATGTTATTCCTTCACCGTGGAAGTCAATCGTGAACATTTGTTGAGTACGTATTTCATTAGAAAAATTGGTACCCGCCAGCGAGATTCGAACACCGGTGCATCGCTCGATACGAATGCACCGGACGTCTTATCCGTTAGGCCACGACGACTTCGAACAGAAATTTTCCGCTACAGAAAAATATGAGAAATACATCTCACTTAGGTCCACTACGAAACTAAACATTCGTTTGGCTCAATGGGACCCCCGGGTCGCCGGAGCGAGAACTACGAATGTAATAGATATCATACAACCATCAGGTATCTGTCCTATCTGGCCCAAATTTATTGTCCGGTCTCATACCGGAAACTTAAAACGTAAATTTGGAGTTAGATGGTGCAGTGTAGGCGGACTTTGGTTAGGCAAAATTGAAGAATTTATAATCTCAACACTAGCAACAACGGCCTCGCAAGAAGCCTATTCGAGGTTACCAGCATAGATGGCCAAAAACATGATAATCTCATTCAAAATTTACGGCATTATGTTTTTCAACTCAATAAAATTAAAAAATTTAAGATCAATTTCATTCACAGTTCTATTTCTTTTTGATGTATGGGCTTTATTCCCTTTGCCTCTTTAGTGAACGAATGTTAAAAGAACTGTAAAATGTAAATTGTAAAAGGTGAAGGAAAATGAAATTTATAAATAATCCCATCGTGATCCCATCTAAAATACAAAAAGTATTGTAAATTTTTCTTAACTTAATAAAATAGTTAAAACTTACTCAATACGCTGTTTATCTACCATTTGCTCTGCAATACAAACCTATTAATATGTCAATATGTCCAAGGAAATACTTTATTAAAGACCTCATAAACAAACCGACTCCCATCGATGTATGGTTGCAAGGAACAATCGAACAGACTGTAGGCCGCGATATTTTAATAATTTCCGATACGTTTGGACGGGCAAAAATCACCAAATGTGAAACGGCTAACGGGGTTATTGATAAAAATTCCATAAAAAAAGGTAGATATTAATGTCGACATTATATGTAATTTCATACTCAAGAATACGACTATCATAGGCAAATTAAGTTATTAACCGCAATAATGATATGGAAATCCTTTTATTGTTTCATTTCGTGTGTTTGGTAATAGATACATTCTGTTAAATGAACTCAATTAGTAGTTACAGATTATTTCCATGGGTGTGCAACCACAGCCTTCTGAAGCTATTATTTGCTTTTAATCTTTCCAGTAATAATATCCAGATAATATAGAGGTTATGCATTCTTAAATAATACATCTGATAGTGATAAAACTTCCTGCAGTTGCCTGCAGCTGGCTCTCCAGAGAATGGTTTGGTATAAGAAACGGGAGTCATTTCAAGAACTCTAACCTCTTCATACAATATAGTTACAGGAAAACATGAGCAGGTTTCACTAATTTAGAGCATTTTCTCATTGTTTAAAGAATGCATTATAGCACTTCATATCATTATTGTGTCTACTGATGGGCTTCACTAAGTTCATACAGATTCTATTTATATTATTAACAGCTATTTTACCTAATAAGATGTGGTTTTGGATAGTTATCCTTTTATAATCAGCTTTACTCCATTATTATTATATATTCTCATATAATATATTAAATTATATTATAATTCAATAATTATTACATGTGAACTTTATAGTTATTGGTAAAAAAAAGTTCATTCAGAATTATTGAGGTTCTTGAAGTTAATATTTCTAGCAGTGATAATGCTGAGTATTAGAATTTGATTGGCAACGATAACAAGTAGTAACTAATTATATCAAGAGGTGAAAAAAATATCGTTCTAAGTGACATTTTTCTAACTTTAAAGAGAGTTTAAAGTTTTAAATTTGGAAAAAAATTCATAAGAAAAAACTTCAGCTATTTGATTATTGGGAAAAACAGAATTGAAGTTCAATCAAGTCCTTACTTTAATGACAAAGATAAATGTTACATAGTATGTCGTATGTTGAAATGTCACTTAAAAAACCAAATAGCCTAACACCCCTCGATATATATATACTCTTACTATATTTTATTATACTGTAAAATAGTAATATTATTATACTGTGACAATGTGAAATGACAATATTTGCCTGAATCTCTTATGAAACATTTTGTGAAATATTAGCTTATATAAACAGATTTGTGGATCAATAATTATCCGTTCTTGCCTTTTTAAAATTCTCAGCCTAAACAATTTCCTGAGCTCGACTACCATGGGGCTATCAAACAAGACCCTTCTTTAACTAGTTTCCTTTTGGAATTTTGATCACAGTGCTTGTTGTTTTGCTTCTAAAATGTATAGATAAATTGTTCCCAATAAATAATTTTACTTATTTCAATGTCTCATGTGTCTCAGTGTCAGAAATATGTAGATTTCTACTCTCAAACCTTCCAAATTCCTAATTGATCTTCCATAAATCAGTCTGATCATAGTGCATCGGCCTCTTCGTCTGATTCACCGTTGTAACTATACTGAGATCTTAGAACTTATATCTCAAGGTGGGTGGCGCATTTACGTTGTAGATGTCCATGGGCTCCAGTAACCATTTAACACCAGGTGGGCTGTTAGCTCGTCCACCCATCTAAGCAATAAAAAAAATTAAAAAATTCATATCAGTCAGTTCACAGCCATGGCTTTCATCAAATTCGTCATTTGGAATATAATTCAAACTATACTAAAGTACTGGCACCAGACAATGAGTAACATTTTGCGTGCTGTATCAGTTTAATTGATGGGCCTTAATTTATATTACTCATATTCCAGGAACATACTGCTGTATAATTGGGACAGCTGTCAAAACAAAAGGTGTACCTGAAGTTCAAGCTTATAAATTCATTGATTTGAGCTCACAACCTGAGATGAAAAGTTCATGGGAGATCGAAGTGAATGAAGCTAATCTATTTTTAGAAGGGAAGTTAATACCTAATATTGAGGATTGTCATAAATTATAACAATATGACCATTGATGATTTATGATTAACCTCAATAAAAAAAAAACAACACTATCTGATAGAAAACTGGTGTATTACTCCTTCACCACAAGTAATCAGTTTACATTTATAAGTAGTTAATGGAATATAAATAGAAATTTGCCAGTACAATAAAAAAAATAACATTTATCACAGTTTACATATCTTTTCATATCTGTTTTATTTAACAACATTCTGATAACAAAATAGGAGTTTCCACTTTATCTTATAACAAAATTAATAAATGAACCATTGCAAAAACCCTGACACCCAAATTGTTCTTTATAGTTAAATTGATAGTTTCACAATTTAGCATCTGATTTGAGCAAAGGTCCAAGTTTTTGGGCGAGCATGATGTTGCCTGCGATTTTAAGTTTTCCTTTCATGTATGCTACTTGAGGATTGAGAGCTCCAGATGCAATTTGCACTAAATCAGCATCTGCAATTGTCATAGTCGTATCTGCCTTTCCACTCTTCGGTGCTCCGTCGTGAACAACTGGGGACTTGAGGTCTAGTGCTAAAAACAAAAAAAAAATTAAATTTAAGCACCTCTTGATTTAGTGTTGCACTTTGAAACACAATGGGTCGAATTGAACAACATTTCAACTAATGTTTCACTAATGATATAACACTGTAGAATAGAATTCCAAACTATGATGCAAGCTCAAAATGCAGAATGCCACCCCTCTTTATACTAGAAAAAAATATTAAACGTCACTTAAAGGTACAGCCTGACGTTTGCTAGTACGTACTTTGAATAATTTCGGTAAGTCTACATAAACAATCAAGATGCAATTGGAGGAAAGTAAGTAATTTCAAAAGTATTAGGAAATGTATCATAGATAGCTAACTTTAGCACAAAACTTACTCCATTGTTTCACTGTTTTTCCGTTATCAGTGATGTTGTATAAGAAAACACCACCAACTGTCTTAGCTTTGTCAGGATTCTTTTTTACTTCGTCTTGGATTTTTGCAAAGAGTGCATCACTCTTTAAAGTGCCAGACGCAGTGGATGGTGCTGCTGCAGATGGGGACCCACCAGCTGATACCACATTCTTGAAATCAATGTATGCACCTAAAAGAATATCACTATTAGAGTTGATTCTTAACGAATATACAAAAGATTTATAAACTACAGACATTTTGAAGTCGTCGTGGCTGAAAGGATAAGACGTCCGGTGCATTCGTGTTGAGCGATGCACCGGTGTTCGAATCTCAGGTGGGTACCAATTTTCTAATGAAATACGTACTCAACAAATGTTCACGATTGACTTCCATGGTGAAGGAATAACATCGTGTAATAAAAATTAAACCCACAAAATTATAATTTGCGGAATTACTGGTGGTAGGACCTCTTGTGAGTCCGCACGGGTAGGTACCACCACCCTGTCTATTTCTGCCGTGAAGAAGTAATGCGTTTCGGTTTGAAGGGCGGGGCAGCCGTTGTAACTATACTGAGACCTTAGAACTTATATCTCAGGGTGGGTGGCGCATTTACGTTATAGATGTCTATGGGCTCCAGTAACCACTTAACACCAGGTGGGCTGTGAGCTCGTCCACCTATATAAGCAATAAAAAAAATCATAAATGCATTTTTAAAATTGGCAATGTCTATGATGCCTATTTATTAATAAAAAACTTACCAGCAATTACTGTGTTGCCAGTTTCTTTAGTTTTGGTCTGGAAATGAACTCTCTTGCCTTCTACCCACATCTCGGTAACAAGAGTTTCACCAGGCATTACTGGTTTCACAAAACGGGCCTTTAAGGCTTTCACATTGCTGGAGTCGTTTCCACCAAATCTGGTAAAAAGAATATAGTTTTCTTAATGAATTGAATAACTTTCTTTATTTTGAATTAACTTTGATCAATTTATATAACAATGATTGGTCAAAAGATGTGAAAAAAATATAGGAACTCACCTAGCTAGAACATGTCTAGCTGAAAAACCAAGGGATGCGAGTCCATGGAGAATCGGCTTCTTGTGTCCACTTGCGGTCGCAACGTTGGGATCAATATGCAGAGGATTGAGGTCACCAGACATTCTATAAAAGAAACAAATTTTATTTAATAACTAATTAATCACAGAATCATGAAGACTGCCTGCTAATTACTTTCATTAACTTAACGCTAAATAAGGGCAGTCACTTTAGCCCATAAACAACTTGCCCCTGGCCACCTTAAAAATATTGACATTTTAATATTCAAATCGGAACCCATGACTGCAGCAATGCCAAGATTATTTTCAAACATAGTTTATTAAGGTGTTTGTTTTCGTGATTGACCGAGTCCTGATTTGTATCTAGGTAGTCTAATTCTAGCATTTATTAACATTAAAATTAACAAATAAAAATATTATCATCAAAAATTGAATCTCGATAACTCATAAAAAAAAAATACCAACATTAAATAAATTTAAATAGAAAATGGTGCCCGTGAAACTTCTTTTGCAGTGTGTAGTATTGTGGTTTTTTTCATTTTTTATCCTTAAATAAAATTTCTCTTATAATATATAAGAGAAACGACCTCTTCACCATTTATATATATTTTAAATTATATTTTTTTTTTTAAATCATTAATAAATGAAAATATAAGATAGTTAATATGTTACTGGCATCTACAAGACCAATGAGAAACTAATAACAAGCTATCTAGTGGTCGACGCCCGTAAACAGAATCTATATAAGAGAAACGACCTAGCTCGCTTTCTCCCTCTCGAAGGTCGAGTGGTTCGCGAGACGCTGTCTATTTTCTCGCTCTCGTTCGTCCTAAATTGTATCTCTTTTCTCTAGCCGTAACGAATCTGTCGTGAGTTAAATTTTACTCTCAACGCGCCTAAAGAAGTTTCACTTCAACAAAAAATGACAGAGAATTTATTCATAATTTCTAGAGAATTATCAGATACTCGTTCAACAAATAAAATGGCTGGACCTGTAGAGAGCGGCCTGGTCTTCGGCGGTGCGTTGTTCCACGACGGCATCAGGATTTCTCTTTGGTGCGTTTGCGACGCCGATAGCGTTCTTGCTATTGCGGGGTCCACCGAAACCTCCTTGGCCTAGCACGAAAATGTGCTGCTGGGTTCGGCATACCAATTGCTTATTTTGGAATATTTCACCTGTCAATAAAACATATTATGTAATATAATCCTACTAATTTATTTGTTACTCTTTCACACAAAAACTTGAAGACGTCGTCAAATATGTACTTAACAAATTTTCACGATTTACTTCCACGGTGAAAGAATAACATCGTGTAATAAAAATAAAAATAAAACTGGTGGTAGGACCTCCTGTGAGTCCGCACGGGTAGGTACTAACGCCCTGTCTATTTCTGCCGTGAAGCAGTAATGCGTTTCGGTTTGTAACTATACTGAGCCCTTAGATCTCATATCTCAAGGTGGGTGGCAGTATTTCGATTGTAGATGTCTATGGGCTCCGGCAACTACTTAACACCAGGTGGGCTGTAAGCTCGTACACCTATCTATGCAATAAAAAAATAAAAAGAAATTATTGGATGGATTATGATGAAACTTTACAATACATCAAAATAACACATAGGCTATAATTTATAAATATATTGTATGAATTAATCAAAATATAACGATAAGTGTCGGTATGAAAAGACCTGTATCTCAAGCATCTCTTTATATCAAAATAAATACTTTTATCGTATCTGGTGTTTAAAGTAGTTAAACCTTTTCTTTTACACTACATCATTTGGACAAATATTGGAATTATGACTATTACCAACTGACTGTGCGATATTATGAAAGAAGAGAGAAAAGAATCAATAAGATCATTAATAAATTACATTCCCCGAAGCGAAGCGAGGACGGGTCGCTAGTATTATTATAATTCAAATCATACCAATTTTTTTATATATTTACATATTAATAATCTGCGCAGTGTTCTTTTAATTCGAGTTACAAGTTTTAATTCCTATTCTATGTCGTAATATTTTTGATAGTTGTTTTCGACTTTTCTTATACAAGGATCTTTAGAGTAAAAATGATGCAGTAATTCATTGAATTTTCTTTGATTTCGTTTTACCTTCAATACGCGTACTCTTTATATTCTTTTGACCACCAGAACCCCTATGAAGACCATATTTACACATTCTGTTAAATGCGCGAATAAATTAAATACGAACAAAAAGTACATAGTAATTTTTGTATGAGGTCGTCGTTACCTACAGATTCTTAATAATAGTCACTCAGTATGTAAATATTCGACGTTTATTTAATTCCAAATCCATTCGACGGCAATGACAATACAAAGTCTTGCGATTGAATATTGATTTAACGATGAATTTGAATACAATTAATAGTGTATTTTATTGTTTAAATTGCAATGCAAATAATATTTTAAATGGTGGGTAGGTATATCACGAAAACTTTCAGGGTTTATTGCGTAACAGAAATGGAATAGAAAGATCTTTGGCTCGGGCTAGTATTTTGTATAAATATTTCAAATATTTACACAACCATTTTTTGTCATATTTTGTTTTACTTAATTGTACTCAAGCATAGACGTCATGACGCTATCTATAATATTTTAAGTGCGAACATTATTATATTTGATTTGGTTTAATCTCTAACAATTTGATGCGACGCCATGACAAGATGAACTGTAATCGAGTGGTTAGTCACTTTGACTGAACCGGAACCTTGACTACCATTCTTGTGAAAAATATTAAGAGGTCCGTGTTAAATGTGGAACGTAATTTTCTAATTAAATCTTTTGGCGGCTACACTTAGGTGCAATAAAGAAGCAAAGCGTGCGAACAATATACTAACTTATAGGTATGTGAGCTCTCGTTACGCTTGAGATGATTTATTTGTGTTGAGAGAATGTAATATATCGATATTAACATATATGTAAATAAAATCCTTTTTTATGTAATTTTCATATAAAACCTTTCTAGTTTTTCTTATACATATATATTAACTTTCTGTCATTGAGAAAAAAGACGAGTTCAGTTTTATTTAATTCAAAAATACTGTGTAAAATAAATTGTAGAAAATAAAGGCTTTAAATGATGTTTTATAATGATATGGACTATTCTAAATGTGGTGGTTAAAGAATAATAAAATACTTCATATATAATATGGATATATTGAGATCCATTTACAGTTATGGACGTAAACAATAATAATATCAATACGATGAGCTTTATCATGAATAGTATCGGCCGCAGATAAATAACGTTTTTTATCACGCTCGAAGCGTATTATGTAGTGGGCGATAATGGTATCTACATGATAATCATAATTCATATACGTGAAATATTAATATTTCGTACGATGTGGAGTGGCATGGCATTTGGATTAACATTTATTTTACACTTCATACGAACGAAAAATTAGGACAAACACAAAATGTTATCCTAAAAATGACTTTGAGAATCACTCATCTGAAACACTATCCTAGCTGTTTCAGATGTTTTGGGGATTAGCATACACGCACAACATACAAAGATAAAAATTGCTTATCGAATTTTTATGTTGCATAGATAAAATTCTTCTTTTGTATAACAGCGAACATTAAAACAAACCCGAGATAAGATTTTATAGAATCTGTGTAGAATAAACGCATTTGACATTGAAGTCATAGAAATATAATACTACATATTATTTCGGAGAAAACTGAAAATAAATATTCAAGAAATTGTGCACTTTCAAGTTCCGATCAGAAATTTATTGTGTGTATTAAATGGCAACATTTGTAGAGTTTGACAGCGGGTGTCTACCACAGTTATACCTCATGTAGTCACTCACTGCAAATATTACCATTTCTTTTAAACAGCATTCGTATTGCCACAGATAAGACGTGTCCTGCGACTTTACGTTGATTCAGTCCTAGGACATTATTTTTAAGTACCGTCTGCAAGAGTTAAAAACTACTATCATATTGTAGCAACAAAATGAGGGTCCGTGAAAATGAATTTTTTTAATTCGCAGCGTAAATCCCACTGTGAGGCGCGTACGGTGATCTAAATTCGAACGATGAGACTTCAACTAATCGATCACCCAAATCAAAAAGTATAAATTGAATGAAGGCGTTATGTGCCTATAAACCGTATTAGACCTTAAAGCCCCGGGTTTGAAGGCTATTTTAAAAATTGCATGTGATGATGTAACTATACTTGAGACCTTAGAACTTATATCTCAAGGTGGGTGGCGCATTTACGTTGTAGATTTCTATGGGCTCCAGTAACCACTTAACACCAAGTGGGCTGTGAGCTCGTCCACCCATATAAGCAATAAAAAAAAACGATGAAGGAGTTGCGTACGAAGAAAAAGTATAAGTAACAAAAGTTTGTTGCCAGTTTTCTCAAAATTAACAAATTGTATTATATCGCCTTCGTCCACTCATGTCTTCAATTATTCGAGCTACAAAGTAGAAAGACAGCGATATCAGCCAGTGCATTCATTACATACCCTTCATGAAAACCATGCTTCTACAGTTCTAAGACCCCGCATTATAAAACTAACACGCGGTGAATCTGTTTGTCATTAAAATACCTCACACATGTTAACAACTAGCCGTACTCGCCCTCTTCGCTAGGCATTTAAAATTAACATCATTATTTATTGTCATTATTATTAGGTAGTCCAATCCTCATATAAATATTAGTATGCCTTAAGTACATGTATTTTCTACATGGATACCAAGTTTCAAGTCAATCGGATGCATGGTTCAGTAGTTATAACGGAACATCCGTAAAACTACTGTAGATTTATATATTAGTATAGATGACACTTAATTATTCAGTCATAATTGAGATTAAAAATTCCAAATATTTAACTACTACGTAATGCTTACTGTTCACAATGGCCACGGCGCTGGAGCCCTTGTCCAGGACATCGACGACATAGCAACGGGTTGTGAACACTCCTTCGGTTCCAGGGAAGTCACCGACGAATTCAATGTATTGCTCTCCGTGAAGCACCTGAAAATAAAAAAGGCGATTAGTTTTTTTTTCCGCCCCACCTAATAGCGCAAAGGGTTATTCTAGCTACGCGCGGACGGCCATCTTTATGATTTCCCTCTAACAGCCTGGCCACGGGACATTCGCCGATACGAATATTCGCGCGGTGCGAACGGCGAAGCGTCTAGCGACTAAAACAAGCGCATAGAAATGTACCTAACAAGCCACGCGCACCGGCGACCGGCGAAGCGACCGGCGAAATGTACCGAGCGAATCGCGCGATGCGGCGGGCGAGCAAAACAAATGCATGAATACGGACGGCGCGAGCCACGGAGTCGAGCGGTAGTCGCGGCGAATAGTGCAGTGATTAAATGAGTTTAGTTGTTTTCGCCGCGAAAAATTAACGCCGAAATTTTTATATTTTTTATTTATTTTTTATTTTATATTTTTAAAGTCGTCGTGGCCTAACGGACGTCCGGTGCAATCGTGTTGAGCGATGCACCGGTGTTCGAATATCAGGCGGGTACCAATTTTTGTAATGAAATACGTACTCAACAACACTCAACGTTCACGATTGATTTCCACGGTGAAGGAATAACATCGTGTGATAAAAATGAAATCTTCAAAATAATAATTTGCGTAATTACTGGTGGTAGGACCTCTTGTGAGTCTACACGGGTGGGTACTACCACCCTGCCTATTTCTGCCGTGAAGTAGTAATGCGTTTCGGTTTGAAGGGTGAGGCAGCCATTATAACTATACTTGAGACCTTAGAACTTATATCTCAAGGTGGGTGGCGCATTTACGTTGTGGATGTCTATGGGCTCCAGTAACCACTTAACACAAGGTGGGCTGTGAGCTCGTCCACCCATCTAAGCAATAAAAAAAAATTAGCTGAAATACTAGCTAGACCAGCTATTTGGAAGTCTAGCCACCCAAAGTATTTCTCGTACTTCTTGTGGAATTCTCCATCTTTAGGTATACTCCGATTCTTATTCAAATCATGTACTTCACAATATTTTCCAAATAATAGGTCCTGAACAAAAAAGCTATTAATTTGTAAGCAATATCGAGATAATTTCGATATAGACATTTCGCTGTCGGACTTCCTTACTAGTCGCGGCGGCGAACGTGAGTACCCGTGGCCTACAAACGGTGCTGCGCGAATGGTCGCCTCGTCCACCGCTTCGCTGTTCGCACCGCCGATCCCCGTGGCCAGGCCGTAACGCGCTTAAAGTGATCATTTGACGTTAATGACGTCACAAACCATTTACTGTCAAATTGAATTGCGAGTTTTTTTTTATTCTCTTCACAGCTTTAGAGTAACATTCGAAATCAAATTCGAATTTTAAGTCGACCGCTGTTTTGAGATTAACTCAAAACATATTGGGGATGATAGTGTTGGGATTGGAAGAATTGAATACGATATTAGTTGCACGGTTAAGTTAGTAAACATTTATAGAAATTACTACTGCAAACTGATAATGAACAAGCCGTGGAACTAACTCGAGTATCTGTGAAGATCGCATACTGGTCATTTTAGTAAATAAATTAAAAAAAAATCACTTTCATACCATGTCTAAATCAAGAGCAGTTTCGATTATTCCTTTTCTTAATATTTTATATCATAGGTCCCCATCTCTATTGTTTTCAATAAAGATTTACTTCGTAACTAGATAACATTTTGAATCTATCTATTTGACATTGATTGTAATCTTTTGATTGATCGTTCCTGGATAACATGGAAGTTGCCAGCTATTTTTTTTTCCTCAAAAATATTGTTTTCTGTTTACATATTTCTTTGCAAATACTTCCAGCGGCAGAATTTCGAAATAAAATTAAGTTATTTACAATAAAGTAATTAACGGTTATCTTGCACAAACTACCATCACGCATTTAAAAGGGTCGTTGGCCTAATGGTTGAGACGTCCGATGGATTCATGTCAAATGATATGTCTATGGAACAGTTCAAGTAAACCAGCACTTACTACCACGATGAGGGAATAATAACATCATGTAATAAAAATCAAACCCTCAAAATTTATCAGTGCGTAGTCTGTGGTAGTGCAACAACAAGTCAAACTGATTTTTAATTGAACATCATTCTTATGTAATACGTCAGCAGTAGCAGCTAGTGTTAGTAACCTTATATAGTGTTATCCATAATGAGTTATCGGGAGATTTATGAGAGCTCGATATGAACCGTTAGATAATGTTACTCGAATTATTTCGACAGAGCTCGAATGACTCAATGTTAAATCAAACCCCATTATATTAAGCGTTCGATAAATATAAACGATTTAAACCTTCGATAAGCGTTACATTATGAACAAGACTGTATAGCTGGCGTTTCTTGTGAGTCCGCGCGGGTAGGTACCACCACCCCGCCTATTTCTGCCGTGAAGCAGTAATGCGTTTCGGTTCGAAGGGTGGGGCAGCCATTGTAACTATACTTGAGATCTTAGAACTTATATCTCAAGGTGGGTGGCGCATTCACGTCTTAGATGTCTATGGGCTCCAGTAACCACTTAACACCAGGTGGGCTGTGAGCTCGTCCACCCATGTACGCAATAATAATAAAACGGTTGTCTGTAAAGTCGATTTACTGACGATAGTTGAACGTGACAACGTCATAAGAAAATACTGATGGAATGGTTTCATTTTTCAATTATCGCAATTATCGTTGCTATAAACAATTGACACTACATTCACTTTTCACTGAACTTCATACTTGACGAAAACATGTAAATGTTATATTTATATTGTACAGCAGCTGTCCACGCGGATGCATCGCTCACTCAAGTAGGAGAGAGACAGATGTCGAACGTTGCCGAACGCGGAGGCCGATTGTGCCTCTTTGTCGCTCGTTGCGCGCTCTCGCTTGCACTTCAAGCCTTAAATAGAACGCCTCAATGAGTCATGTTTTTTCGTGCGTGCAGCCGGCTCCATCAAATTATAAGACGTTGTCACGTCAAAAGGTTATTGTGTTTACTCACATTAGTGAAATCAGCGAATTTGCCCGGCGGCATGGCGTTAGCAACGATCGGGGCCTCCATGCACATTCCAGCCAGTATGAAGAACGAGGGTAAAGGAGAGAAATTCTCGTGGCTCTCGTAAAGGAACTTCAAATCTGTCGGGTTCTCGACCGAAGCTCCCACTAAAACGTACAACCACATTCATTTCGATCAGCACTCTCCTATAGCGGCTCTTAGATATTATCTGACCTATAGATGTTAAGAATAACCGAAGAAAAGTCACACACATTCACTTATAGACGACGCTTGTAGCTGAAAGTAAGTATTGTTATATACCTACTCTATCTACAAAGATAATTGTTCTATACTCTTCGTATATACTGTGTTACTTATAATATTTTGTATTCAAGTTTAACAATATTTGCTATGTGTATGTGCATTACTATAATTCTCATGTTGTATTTGTTATTTTAGCTGTTCTACACACAATCATCACTTTTAATTATTATTCTCATAATCCTCTCGCAGGTTTGCTGGAAGACATTTCTCAAAGAAATAAGCAGCGCCTTTGTACATAATTTTCCTATTACTCTGTACTATGTCTTCTTTTTCGTGTGTAAATAAATAAATAAATAAATATTGTAATTTTTTACGAAGCTGATAACTCTGTTTCTATAATCTGACGAAGCGTGTTGCAGATAATAATATGTACTTTTAGGTTATTAAACTATCTTTCATAATGTATTAATCTGACCCTATATCTGTCAAAATATATGATACATTTCGATATTATTTTTATCCAGCCCCAAACTAGGATTCCCTGCACTATGATAAAATCACCGATATATTATGTACGTAGTTATTATATATGTTTAAATAGATACTTAAACAGATATTAACCAAGACAGCGCAAAAACCGCCTCTTGTGAACTGGTGGTAGGACCTCTTGTGAGTCCGCACGGATAGGCACCACCACCCCGCCTATTTTCTGCCGTGAAGCAATAATGCGTTTCGGTTTGAAGGGCGGGGCAGCCGTTATAACTATACTGAGACCTTAGAACTCAAATCTCAAGGTGGGTGGCGGCATTTACATTGTAGACGCCTATGGGATCCGGTAACCACTGAACATCAGGTGGGCCGTGATCTCGTTCACCAATCTAGACAATAAAAGTAAAACATTTACATCACACGAGTGTTTGTCCGTTGTGGGAATCGAACTTACGACCCTCGGGCCTAACGGTTAGGGGCTCTGACCACTGCTCTACCAAATCAGATGATTATATGATTTAATTAATGAAAGCCATTCGAAAAATTATGCCAAATTTATACTTTAGTTACGGTCAGCTTTGGATTTTGTACAGAATTTAAGTATGTAATATGTTTTAAATATCTATTTCGGGTACCGTAAAAAATATTAGTGTTAGAATCGTATTCATTATTACAGATGATGATAAAACACAATTATTATAATATTATTTACGATTAATAACATTTTTGACGGATATCGAATTATTTTTATTTCACAAATTAATGAAACGATAATTATTCAGTTTATTAGTTATATACAAATATGATTATAGTCAGTGGCGGATTAAAGGTTCAGAGCGCCCTAGGCAATCACTTTATCGGCGCCCCTGTACCGGCCATAAATGGCCATCATAATACTATAAATTTTAACTATAGTTATATAACTTATAGTTGTTTTTGCAATTACGATGACGTTGTATCATCAAACCATAGGCTTTAAGTAGACCAAGACCCTTGTACTAATCAAGAGGGACGACGGAAGATTTAGATTATAGATCAGCATTTAGTTTTTAATTGCCGATATATTATTTTCTTTATTTATTTAAAAAATCGTAGCTCGCGCGCCCCTTGTATAACGCGCCCCTAGGCACGTGCCTAGTTTGCCTTACGGATAATCCGCCTCTGATTATATTACTATTATATACATTTGACACGTCACACAACTCACCTCCCAGGGCGTAGATGACTAAATCCTTTGCGTTGTAGTCGTACGTTGTCCAGTAAGAGTCCTTGTCGCCGTCCAGTTTGGAACGTTCTTCAAATTCCTTTACAAATACAACATGTTTTTAAATCAAGCTTAAATATCTTTCTTTTCATTGATTACAAAGGCAGACGAGGATGCGACCAATCTGACGGTAAATAAGTAGTTACTTCTGGAGTCAGCAATGCCAGACGCACAGCTAAGCTTCTGTCTACTTGCTTGTTAATATATATTTTTTCCCTACCTAAGCTGATAGCCTTAAGAGGCTATATCAGCGTAACTTAACAAGTAGGTGAGCTTACGGGGCTCAAACCTAGAGGCGTTGCTAACACTAACCCTAGCTAAAGCAGTGCTCCGCAGAATCTACCACCGGATCGGAAACGCGACCCACAGAGAAGGTCAAACGACAGGTTCGACGAGAATGCTTGTAAGTAATAATGCTAGTGCATTAGCAAGCCACACCAGATCCTCTAGATAGGTTTGTGTATGGGAGAGGTCTAGTAGCCAGTTTTAATCCGTACCCTAGCCTCCAAATACATATAAATAATGAAATGAAATCAACACATAAATCCGATAAATCTTTAGGTGATATCGAGTTATTTGTATTAAAACAATTGTAACAATTAATTGTTATTGTATTTGTTTGTTTTTGTATTAAAAACAAAATACACAATTAACTTGCGTTGTCTGCTAAGCGACAAAAGGTTACTTTTTATTACAAAAGAAACAAAACAAATTTTAATTGTAACAATGTTCATACTTTAAAAATTCCCACGACATTACAAAAATAACAATTAAGTTTATATAGATATTATAATTTAGAAACAAAGAAAAAAAACCTTTTAGCTACGTGCACATTTTTGTTTGCACGTTTTAATTCTCAAACTTTATATTACAGGTTTCGAACATCAAAGTTCTGATTTAGAATCGCGCATTATACTTAACATAAAAGATCAAAATCTTTCTCTGATATTACATAATGCTATATTAAATAAATCGATATAATATAGGGACATTACTTTCTCATTAGTTGAACTACCTCGTAATTTTAATATAATTTTCACTTTTACAAATGCTTTTACTGGGTCGTAATATTTTTAAAATTAAACCCGTAAGCGAATAGGTAATAGTAGTAATAAATAGGCAGGGAATTACTGTAGTAGAACATTCTTATCCTCTTAATAAAATCTTCTCTGAAGTCTCTTATGTATGTAAAGCCGATATATTACTTATGTAATATGAATATCTTTTGATATGCGCGGTACTCACGCCACGCATATCATTAAGAAACAGATAAGATAATGATGACTCCGTTGTGGCATGATAAAAAAAGATAAATAAATTTTCTACTTTTGAGTTTTGAAATGACAAATGTGAATTTGACTAATATAAACTACAGTAAAACAGTTTTTTTTTATTGCCCTTGTAGGCAGACGAGCATACGGCCCACCTGATGGTGAGTGGTTAACGTAGCCCATGGACTTCAGCAATGCCAGGGGCAGAGCCAAGCGCCGCTGCCTACCTAGCGTGTCAATAATTTAAAGACATATCGAGGGGTGAAAGGCTTTTCGGTTTAAGCGACATTTAATACGTTTTTAATTATTATTGAACTTCAATTAACTTTACTTCATTCAAATAACTGAAGAAGCTTTTTTTGTTATTGCCTTTCACCCTTCGACTGGTATACTGATATTCTAAGAAATACGTATAGTTTTAAATTTACAACAAAATACAAAAGTCAAAGTGATTTTTTTTTAATTTGGCATTTCTTGCATAAAAATCGCACGTTTTATAATATTTTTATTTTTTTCGACGTGCCACCTGTCCTTTGTGCCATTTGTATCAAGCTATATTTAACTAACTATAAGTTCATATATTGCATTCTTCGAACAGAATACTTCGGTACCTTAAATAGTCTTTATCTCTCACCTGAAGTTTGTCGACAAGTTCTAGCGTGACATCTGCGATCTTCTCCAAATGTTTGGCGCCTCTCATGTCCACGACTTTGGACCAATTCTCTTTGACCGATTCGATCGTGACCGGGTCTGAAGGTCTCTTCCTATAGAGAAAAACTACTATAAAATGGGGTTCCAATGATGATAAGACTAATTTCGTGTAACAGTAAATATGGTACGTGTAAAGGGAAAGTTCTCGAAATCGCTTGAAGGTAGTTAACGGTTTTTTCCTTACTAATTTTTTTTTTATTTGATGTTTGAGTCGACTATTATCAAAGCCGGCAATGTGACTTTTGGACAATTATTGGTAAATCAGAAAAACGAATTATTGACTTTGTATTCCATTGGCAGTCACAAAACTCTTCTGAGCGACATCTTAGATAAATAACAGGTTAAGTATTAACCTTTATTTAATGCAGGTTTTGAACCGTATTCTTTGTAGGAGACGATTATATTCAAATCAATCTGTATTGACATATCAATAACATTTTTTTGTCCAAATGCACAGATTGCCACCTTTGATAATAGACGACTCATTTGTCCTTGCGAACGTAGGTCATATATTTGAAATCAAAATGACATCGTAAAATGACTAATTTCAAATCGACTGAGTAATTAAAAAAACACACACTAAGCACAGTGACATTACCCATTTCCCGATTAATTATAAATATCGTTAGACAGCTTGGTATTTCATTTGAACGCCTTAAAGAAAAAACGCTGCGTGCTACCAATATAAGAGAAAAAATTATCGTTGCTCAAGATGAATAAACGTCCTGCAAATCGAGTAACTTGTGTCTACTCGCACTCAGAGTTTTGCACTTTTCACCGTGAAGAACGTGCACTCGATTCGAGTCATTCGATTCGATTTATGAAACTCGCACTAAGCACACAGACGAGCTCAGCCCAGCCCGGCCTCCTGGTAATTAATTATATTTACCATTTATTTGTAATTTTATGATTATATAATTTGTATATTATTATATAATTTTATAATCATATAACTTGTAGTAGACGTTTGGTCAGATATAGTTTTAGTAATGGTTGAAAACTTGTTTTACTGTTGGACTGATTTTGATGATTTTTTGTATGTGTTCCAGTGTATTCGAGAATGGTTTATATTCACAATTCGGTATTGTATTAACTTTTTTTTTAAATCTTCAAAACGAAACATATTTTGATGAAATACAAGCTCATAAAACAATCGCATAATAAACTTAGATATAAAAAAATAATATGATAAAATGGATAAAAGGAATGGTGTAGATAGTGATAAATACTATGATATAATAGATAATATGGTCATGTTAATATGTAGCCGAATGGAGATATACTTATTTTTTTATGATTTTGAAGTTTTATTATATTATGATTTATTCTCTTCATAAACACATTAATAGATTTCGATGACTCCTATGCTTCAATTCAACTTGTATGTTATAACACCAAAATTTATTTACTATACACAATTCTATTTAGTGAAACTGTAAAAAAGCTGAATTATTTTACTTTACATGTTATTAATTACAAATTTAAAAATAATGATTAATTGTTTTTTTAAGTGCAAATAAAACTGGAGTATTTTATTTAACTGTTAATGTTGTTTTTTTGTAAAAAAAAAAAAAATATTTACGTCCAACGGTTCCCAAACCTTATAAGCTTGGCCCGCTTTCTGAAAATATACTATCTAAATCTGAATAGGAAAACCGACTATACACACGACAGATCTTGCTAGAGTATGAGAGAGACAAAACAAATTATACTTTAATATCGCGTTTTTACTAACATTTTCATTCACGACACCTTAGTAGTCCGTGACCACGAAAACTGTATAGCATTTGAAACATCGGAAATAATATAAAGCTTTGTTACCTTAAAAAAAGCGTAAAATTAAACCATAAAGATATTTTTCTCCTACCCGCTTGCGAGTTTGGATGTATGAAATTGTTTTAACTACCGAATCACTCACGTATCAATACTTACTTGAGTGGGGCTCCATTGCTCCTAAATAATTGTGCTTTGGTTGCGAAACCCAATGTGGAATCGATGATAGCACCGGTATCGTTGAAGGACTCGTGTACCATGTACGCCTGTGTATAATAATTGTTGATATAACAACAGGAATCTTGGAAGTATTTTTATGTAAGAAAGAGAGAGAGAGAGTGAGAGTTTTGTCCAATTCTCATATCCGACCTGGACGACGGGGCAACGCAAAGCCGCCGCCACCTGAAACATGTCTCTTCGGATCGCCCAGATCTTCGACGAAGAGTTCGACGAGCGAACTAACCCTTAGACACAGCCCACTGAGTTTCTCGCGCGATCTTCTCAGTGGGTCCCGATCCCAATACGGTGGTAGACTCTGCAAGGCACTGCTCTTGGGGACTAGTGTTAGTAAATTCTTTTTTATTATCGCTCTTATAGGCAGACGAGCATACGGCCCACCTGATGGTGAGTGGTTACCGTCGCCCATGGACTTCAGCAATGACAGGGGCAGAGCGAAGCCGCGGCCTGTCTCTCAGGTGGAGTCCATCGCCTATTCGTCCGCGCGTAAAAAATCCAATTCAGGAAATTAAAGATTAAATACTGAGGAAACATTGCCGTGGCCAATGGTAGGTGGCAATACTGATCTCTAGTACTGTTAATGGGCGCAGGGTCCTGCACGTCTGTGTTGTACCCACTCACAAGAGGTCCTACTCATCATAAGTAAGTCTTGGCAGAGCAGTCGTGGCCATGTGGAATTCTTGTTTATTAAGGCCTTGACAGATGTTCTCCTTAGTTTGCGAACTGAGGCTTGACGCACGACCTCCACGAGGTCCTACTACCTAATCATAATTACATAAATAATAATCTGTGCCAGGTTCATTTTTATTACACGATGTTGTTCCTTCATTGTGGAAGTAATTCGTGACCATATGTCAGGTGCATATTTCATTAGAAAAATTGGTACCTGTCTGCGAGATTCGAACACCAGGACAGTCGCCTTCCAATCCACCGAGCCTTTTTCTTATCCTCAACGCTACTACTTGTTTACAAAATGTTTACAAAACAAGATATATTGATAAATAAGCAATCAACTTTGAACTTTGAACTTTCAACTTTGAAAATCTTTACTAACATTGATTGTAAGTTACATTTTTAACAACAAATTAGTCTCGTATTATAAGTCACTGTTTATTTTATTACTAATTACGTCATCGAACATCAAATGCGTCAATATGCAATAATACAGACATTTTCATAATTATCTGAGATCATATTACTCTTTTTTTATAATCAAAAATCTATATATCGCTATTTTTATAATTATATTAAAATAGCGTTAGACTCTATGAATGACCGACACCGAATATCATGCCTACAAAGAAAACGTGGTCTCAAAAGTCCTATTCCACAATAGAATTAAGTAATTCTTTTTAAAAAAATCAAAATTATACTTACAACAACTGGAGCAATTAATTCCGGCTTCATGGCCTCATACATCTCTGGCGGGAGGATATCTTCAGTGAGACGAGACGCCGCCGTGGGAACAATTGTGTTCACCTTGATATTGTATTTTGCGCCTTCAATGGCCAATGTGTTGGCTAAGCCAACTAAACCAAGTTTAGCAGCACTAAAATAAAATAATGAAATAATAATAATAAAATTCAATTCAATTTAAGTATATAAAATACAATGTTACGAAATGATAATTATTTATAAATAAATTTAATTTGAATTTAAACTTGATTATTTCTTGATTAATTACCTGTAATTAGCCTGACCAAAGTTCCCAAACAAGCCCGCATTGCTTGAGGTCATTACAATGCGACCATATTTTTGCTTTCTGAATGTTTCCCATGCTGCATGAGTTGTCTTAAAAGCACCTTTTAAATGGACAGCTTGGATTAAGTCCCAGTCCTAAAAAATTTACTTGGTTATTTTTAGTTTTTATACCTTTAATGTAGTGCATTAGTGAGGGTACTTGTTCTCCTTTTAATAAAAGGATTGCTAAGTGCGGGTTTCATAAACACAGACACACAATGAACTGATTTGTTACCGAACACATGTGCTTAAGTTCATTATTAAATAATAAAACATAATAATTAACATAGTATATATACAGCTCACTACCTCCTCATATTAAGGGGTTACCAGAGATCACTGACAACATAGTGAACAAGTGATTCCCAGTAAAAGTAGGTAGGATGGTGGTATCTTCCCATGCTAGGTTACTCAATACTGTTCGCATATATCATCAGTAATCACATCCGTATAATTATTCGAGATGTTTTTACTACAAAATGTCATTTATTACTCATAGAAGTTCTAAAGTAGTTGTTGCCTACAGGATAAGACGCCCGGTGCAGTCATATTGAGCAATGCGAGTGCCAGTGTTCAAATCCCACAGGCATTTATTGAATTTTGTAATGAAATACATATTTAATACAATATTATGTTATTACATGCAAGTTTTCGCATCAAATCAAATGTAATTTTCAATTACCAAAGTTTAATATCTATGAAGTCTCAAGCTTCTTGGAAATTTTACAAAAACTTATTTGGGCTCTTCTATGTTATATTGACCTCTCTGCATTTATTGCACATTGAACTTTGTACCTTCATAAACTCTATCAAAATATTTCCTAGATACATAGATAAATCTACCTGCTCAGTCATTTTAGTGAAGCTCTTATCACGGAGAATGCCAGCATTGTTGATAAGAATATCAATCCTCCCAAAATTATCAATTGCCGTTTTTATTAGCTTCTCCCCCTCGACGACAGAGTTGTAATCAGCTACAGCTACTCCACCTTAAATTATTTTATCACATTAAAATAATTCCAATTATGAAAAAAAAACTCCAACTACATTTTGTCTAACTTCATGTTGCAAGTTAGATTATATTTATGACATTCAAATTTAATTTATCAAGACTGTTAAAATTTATAGAACAGTAAATATTTGTTCCTCTTGAAAAACACTCCAACACTATCTTTTTCATTTGCACAATCTAATTGAATATGCAATTTCAAAAAGGGCACATGTCGCATATTTTGTCAAATACGTTTTTTCATATACATGTAGTTTTGAGGCTTACCTACACCCATTTTATAATAATTCCAGTAATTTTCAATTGCTAATTAACACTAAAATATATCTCAAAAGTTAATATTTTAAATTTTACACTGCTTCAGAAAATAATCAATTTTTTTCATTTCCTGAACATTTTACATTTTCAGAGGTGTGCCCTTTTCGAAATTGCATATTTAATTCTAAACATTTTTTAACTTTCATTCAACATTTTTAAGTTAATAAATAGAATTAGTGCATCAATTTAAAAATCTTTTTATTGCTAAAATTTCAACTTGTAATTTTAAATTGAGTGTTCTTGAAACACAACTAAACAGCCAAAAAGTCTACCAACAATAAAAAAATATGACTAGCAGTACACAAGACTAAAAATCTTTGGAGACCTTTAATTAAATGGGAATAAGATTTTTTTAACAATAAATTTTTAATTGTAACATTTTCTTTTTAAATTACCTTGCTAGTAAATAAAGCACTTAGGTGCAGTAGAGTTCCCTATCTGCTTTAGAAATTTGTTAGAAATGGTATCAAAATTAACAGTTAGAGCACATTTAGAGATATATTGAGGCATTCTTTGTTTGGTCCTGTTTTTAATACCCACCCCACCCAAAAGATAATTAGTTGTAGTGACTTTGATCTTTATTAAAATTCCTGAAATAATCTTCATGTCAATCTTCATGAAAGTATCAATTTCTATTTAGTATTAAAAGATATAGTTGTATTTTTATTTAGAAATTAATAGATAAAGTAGTATAATTTTTCATTACTATGGCTGGGTTTGGCGGTGCTCATTAACATCACAAAGACCTCGACCACCTCGACACGTACACTCCATTTTTGTATCAAAAAACTACCTATCCTTTTGTAAAAATATGATATAATTTGAAAATTGTTTTAAAACATACCTTTATCTTTGATTTCTTTAACAACAGCATCCGCTGCATTGGACTTTCCGGCACCGTCTCTGGCACTGCCTAGGTCATTGACGACAACTTTAGCACCACGGGATGCTAAGAGCAGAGCGTAGGCTTTCCCTAAACCTCCTCCAGCACCAGTTACTACTGCTACACGTCCGTCGAAACGCAATTGATCCATCCTCGGCGATGTACAGAAACGAAATGATAAGTTTATAATTCACAATTGACGCACTTAGAGAAAACCGGTATCAAAGTCCAGCTGAGTGATTGCGGAACAAAACAAGTTAAAGAATGATAAATGATAATTTAGTTATTTGGATAATTTGTATTATCTATGCGCATTAAGTTCAATGACTTGCTTTCATAGATTTTCTGGTCTGATCAGTCTGTTAATTGCGCAAAAGAAATGCGGCACGTAAAGCCACAATGACATTTTCTTTTGTTGTTAAATATTTTGTTACATGTCTGTTGAGCAAAAAGAAAAAGGGACTAGGATGGTATAAAATGAAATAGAACTACATGAGGTAAAATAAGACTACACAGTAGATATTGGGTTAAATGAAATTAAATTAATTACTTATTATAAATATTTTGTTGGAGTTTGAATGTGTAAGTAACGGAGGCAGCACTTGTCACATGCGAAGTAACAATTTTCGAATATCGGAATGTATAATTAAATGTTTAAATGTTAAAACAGATGATTGTCTTTTGTTATAACAACATACTTCTCATCTAGACACGGACAGTGAAACGTCCTAGGGCTATAAACATAAAATGTTGTAAATGTGTAACAGTGTAGTGTTACACATTTACAAGTAGTAGATGTAAATTCTTATTACCTTTGTCTATCCAATGGACGAATCAATAAAATTAAACAATCTGAAATTTTGAATATTAGGAATTACAAGCCGCTGGACGTAGCTTCTCTTGATTTTAAAAAAAGGCCGCTTTAAAAGTCTCAGTAAATAACCACAAATTTACTATGACTATATTTCATCTCATATCATCTGGTTTCTTTTAATTCAATTTCCTTAATGAATTAAATTGATTAATGTCTCAATATCACCTTTCATAAATCTGAATATACAAAAGATTAGGCTGTATGGTGTGATATCTTTGCCTTTCCAATTGGAAAATATAACTATTCTAATAAACATATGACACTATTCGACGTTATGAAATATTTTTAAAATTGAATAAAGTGCCTATACCACATAAAATTTTATTTTAGTGATTAATTTATTGTAAACATTACGCAAATTTGATATCTAATAACTTGACTTTATCCAAGTGGATAATATCGTGTATGCTCTATAAAATACCGAAATAGAAAAGGGAACTACACCTGAATATTAAAATTATAACTGATTTTATTTTAAACTTGTTGTTCGTACATATAAAGTTGAATACAATGTCTAGCTTACGTTTAGATTCGTGCTGGGAACAAGAGGAAGACGGTAACACAAGTCGTCATGTAACTGGCGATCCAATAGCCTGTACGTAAAAAATTGTAAACAAAATCCTTGCGTCTTATTCAAGTGGTACATGCATAAAACTGTATCTTGTGTGTAAAAAATTATGACATATTTAACTAAATATGTTTTAATTGTTTTTCAGTGATATACAATGAAGGCCTTTGGAAAATAAACAAAGTATCTCCCTTGTACAATTTACAATACAATGGTATTAAGTTGAAGCAGTATGGCTCTAAAATCCTCCAGGCACTCGTCAGCTCATTGCAAATGAGTAATACAGCAAAATACACTGTAGTACTTGAAGAACTACCACTACTGAAATACTCCGAAGAAGATTCTAGTGGAATACTAGTGAGTACATTGTTAATTAAATTAGTTGCAACATAATTAAGGAAAACTTCAATCATTAAAAAAAGAATTAAAACAAAAAGCTGTTTTATAGGGTAAGATTCCCGATAAATTAGAATTTTGTGAAAATGTAATGAGCCAACAACTAGTGGTACAGACTTTAGAAACCAAACCAGCCAATAATTTTATATCTTGGAATTTTATCATTTTCACAGATAACAGTTAGATCATCACAAGAGGACAGCAATACTAAAAAAGTGGCATATGTTGCTATATTATTGTCTTGGGGTATAAGCATTAGTATGGAAAATGCAATACATCTACCTTATATGCTAGAACGCGGTGAACAGAGAGTTGGAACAGTTGTAAAAACAATTTTGCAGACTGCTTTTGATTGCAACATTAAACAGTTTAGTTTTACTCAAGTAAGTACAATCACCGATCATTTGCATATTTTAGATATTACTGATGGAAAATTATTAGATTCTGCGAAGCACGACTCTTGCTAGGGTTCGCGTTAGCAACGTCATCAGGTTTGAGCCCCGTGAGCTCACCTACTAGTTAAGGCGACGTTGATATAGCCTCTCAAGGCTATCAGCTTAGGTAGGAAAAAAAAAGTGCTCAAATAGTGGACAAGAACCCATATCTTATCATTCTTGACTAAAAAAAGTACTATTTCAGTTTATTTCTATCATCAATGAATAAATATGCTAGATAAAATAATAGTTAAAAATCATATGTGATTGATTTAAAAGCTATTCATAAGTTAAGTTATACTTAAGTCTCAGTTTCTAATCTGGCCTAATGGCTATTAACAAGCATAATAAGTGCAACTAAGAACATTTGTTATTTCAGATTATGCATAGTAAACATAGTGTGTTAAAAAAGAACAATTTAATTTTCCATGACTAGTATTAATCAGTGACACTTTAAAATACATTAAAATATATTGTAGAAGCAAACATCATAGTAGCATATACTTAATAAATTTTTTTTTGTCTTTCAGCACCAACTTTTGAACTTTGGTTTCAGTTTTATAGACAGTGATACATCCCGGTCAAATGATCAATTTACACTTGTGTATAGAAGCCCACAGACTGAAGTCAAAAGTAAATTAAGTCTATCATTTGACATAGGAGATGTGAGACTGATTTGGAATGGGTAAATGCTATTTATTTATTTTCTTTTTTGGGCATACTTGGTTATACAAATAAAATATATATACTATATATAAAATATATATACTGGATATGAATTGCCAGGTAATTTGCAGAAATATTTAAATACTGGTTTTTTTAAAATGGTTGGAACTGTCATCCTGTCCTTTGACTCATGGACTCAGCTAACTACTTACAGTTGGGCTGTGAGCTAAATCACCCATTTGTACAATATACAAAAATCAACCATTGTCAAACATGTCATTTGTATTTCACAAGCACCCAATCAACTCAAATATACTCATCAAGATATATTAAATTAATACTATTTTATATGATTAAATAAGTTACATTTTAGATGACTTGAATTAACTGAGCTGACCTTTAAGAGATTAATGTAACATAAAAGTCAATTTAAAAAAAAAGGATTTCATTATAAGATGATAAAATCCAAAAATACATGTGATAATAGCTGTTTTATAGAATTTTGTTTCCAAATAACTGAAGGTTACTGTTATTGTACGAGCTTATAATAATTTTGAATTATTGCAGAATAAAAGATGAAACAATAAAGAAAGCAGACTTAATAATCCTGGCATACCAGATATTACAAAACCAAATATTCAGTTTGGGTTACCTGGATGTTACTGTATTCGATTTGAGTGAAATTAATTTAACAAAAGCAGAAATAAAATGCAATGGAGGTGTGAAAATGAAAACGCCAGAAATTGTGAACTGCGTATTCACTGTTTTAAATGAAATTTGCTGTGATTTGTGGCAGGATTTGAACATCACAGAGTGACCATAGCTTTATCATACTATTGTGCTTAAAAAGTAAGATGGTAATTCATCTTGTAAGTTTTAATATCCAAAATGACAGTTCCAACAAATCTAACCCCAGAGTCGCTAGCAGTAGATGACTGTAAATGCTTGGGGCATCAAGATAACACTCTGTTAATTGACCTGTGATCAATTTCAAATTATTGTATCAATAAAGTGTCACTTAATAATTCTTAATCAAAATTAGAAAAGTAAGATAGACACAATAATGACGACGCTTGTAGCTCAAAGTAAATATTGTACTTTTTGACGAAGTATGTTGCTGATAACTCTGTTTCTGTAATCTGACGAAGGATGATGCGGATAATAATATGTTTAAAAAAAGTGTTATTTCATTATTGCGAAAAATAAAGATATAATTATTTATAATTTGGAGTTCATTTAAACTGACACATCTGTATAGGTTTCTATTGCAATTGCTACTACAATCTCAATAAGTTCATAACAAGTCTAGTTTAATTATTCACAATGAATACATTATGCCTATGACTCACTAAAAACAAACAGTTTTTTATATATGTATGTTATGTCCAATGTAATATTTTGTTGTGACCATGTTAACCATGTTTGACCAAATGTTGAATAATTAAAATAGGACTTTTGAACACCTTAATTTAAGAGTTAATTATGTAGACATATCAATGACAATGCCTATGCAAAGATTTTTTATAAATAATAATCTAATATGATAATCATGGGGCACGGGACCATGCTTGAGATAAGCTTGGAGGATAAATTAAGAATGGAAGGGATCCCATAATTTCATTGATGACTTGATTAGAGACAACAAGGAAACTAACAATACTTTGGAAAGATCGAAAATAGCTAGTTCCAATAGCCTTTCCTGAGCATTTATGAAAAGTATAAGATTAGAATTTTATTTATTTATTTATTTATTTAATATATTTTGTACACACAGCTGTTAGAAAAGACACGTCAATAAGGATACAGAGTACAAGGGCACTACTTATTTCATGCTGAAATCTCTTCCAGTAGGCCCGCAAAAGGAAAGAAGAATTAGGAACACAAACCTAGTGCATACAGTAAACATTACATATAATAATATATACATATAACAAGATACAAAACAATATATATACATACAAATACACACACACACACACACACACATATATATATATATAACATACACACATATACTTACTTTATATTATAATACATTAAACAAATATATATACTTTATTTAAGATGGTAAGGATAAATAATGTTCTTTAACAGATTTCTTGAACGCTGCTATGGTTTTGCACGCTCGTATGCTTGGAGGGAGGGAATTCCAAAGTACAACTGCTTGTACAGAAAATGATTTTGCGTAAGCATTTGTTTTGTGAACAGGGCATTTGAGGAGAGTTTTAATGTGTGTTCTACAAGGAGCAAGGAGGGACGGGCATAGGTAAAGCGATCACGTAAGATATTGTGGG